CTGAAGAGACACACGTGTACAGACCTGGGTGAACTGCGCAGCTACCTTGGCTTGCAGATCACTCGGGACAGAGCACGCCGCACCATCACCTTGACTCAGTCACACATGGTGCAGCAGGTCCTTCAGCGCTTCGGCTTCACGTACTCCTCGCCTCAGGCCACTCCTCTGTCTACTCGCCACTCGCTCTCAGCTCTGCCTTCGGATGAGTCCGTAGAGCCGAGTGGCCCGTACCCAGAGCTTGTTGGCTGCCTCATGTACCTGATGACCTGCACTCGACCTGACCTTGCATACCCTCTGAGCATTCTTGCACGCTATGTTGCTCCTGGGAGACACCGACCAGAGCACATGGCTGCAGCGAAGAGGGTATTGCGCTACCTGTGCAGTACGTCGGGCATGGGGCTAGTGCTTGGAGGGCGGAGTCCAGTGGTCCTTACAGGCCACGCGGACGCTTCTTGGGCTGACGACCAGGCTACGCAGCGGTCGTCACAGGGTTACATCTTCAGTCTTGGTTCCGGCTCTGTCTCGTGGCGGTCTACTCGTTCGTCTTCGGTTCTCGGCTCCAGTTGTGAGGCTGAGATCTACGTCGGGGCCATGGCTGCACAGGAGCTTCGCTGGCTCACCTACCTGCTGACTGACCTTGGAGAGCCGCCTCGTTGTCCTCCAGTGCTGTACGTAGACAACAAGGCCATGCTGGCCTTGTGTCGAGAGCAGCGCTTGGAGCACAGAACGAAGCACATTGCTCTCCGCTACTTCCTTGCTCGTGAGCTGCAGCAGCGTGGTCAGTTGCGACTTGCGTACGTGGCCTCTCAAGCCAACACTGCTGATGTGTTCACCAAGGCACTCGCGCCTTGTGACCATCAGCGCTTTTGCAGCCAGCTGGGTCTTGTGCCTGTCTTGCCTCACTTGCTTTCCTCTTGACTTTACTTGTACTGTGGCATATATATACCTGCTCCTGCTTGTCTAGTTTTATATATATGCCTGTACTCTTGCATGTGAACTGGCCTCTGGCCCTGCTCTTGTGCTCGGACTGTGTGGTGACTTTGTGATCCACCCTGAGCTTGCTTTGCTTTGCTTTGCTTGACTGGTCTTGTGACCCCTTGTTCTCCCCCACTTTGCCTATGGGGGTGTGTCAGATTATTATAGCTGATGCATGTTTGTAGGCTATAGTGGGGTAGCACATATGGGGTACAGCTTTCTAGGGTTGTATTTGTACCCAACTCTGACTTAGTCATTCTCATTCCTGTTCGCTTATTCTCACAAATACGTTTGGGGTCCAGCGCAGCAGCAGGCGCTCGAGCAGATGAAGCAGTCGCTCACGTCTTCACCGACATTGTCGTACCCTGATCCCACTCGCCCATACGTTGTAGTGACCGACGCTTCAGATCAGGCCATAGGAGCAGTGCTTCTTCAGGACCAGGGACGCGGGTTGCAGCCGATCGCGTACGAGTCGCATAAGCTTAGGGGAGCGGAGCTGAACTATCCGATTCACGACAAGGAAGCGCTCGCGATCATCCATGCGTATAAGGTGTGGAGGTGCTACCTAGAGGGGGCAGATAGTGTTATACGCACGGACCACTGTTCGCTTTGTTTCCTCAAGTCGCAGACGCAGCTGAGTCGTCGCCAGGCTAGGTGGATGGAGTTCATGGAGGGGAGCTTTCACTACAGGATAGAGTACAAGCCAGGCGTGCGTAACCCAGCAGATCCGCTCACTCGCCCTAGTTGCCAGCTCGCTAGTCTCACAGTCACTGCCGGCCACCCACCCACTTCTCACAGCACTCTTCGAGAACGGTTACACAGTAGATCCCGACTTCACACCGCAGCCGCCCGTAGGAGCAGGGGTGCAGAGTAGTGTCTACATACGGAAGGGTACCACACGGATTTGGGTTCCAGCCTACCCCCCTCTTCGATAGCTCCTTCTCTCAGAGGCGCACGACGTAGTTAGTGCAGGTCACTTTGGAGCAGATAAGACGGCTAAGACGCTTAGTCGCACGTACTACTGGCCTGGGCTTGCAGCAGACGTAGAGGATTACATTTGCTCGTGCGACACGTGTCAGCGTACAAAGTCCTCTCGCCAGTGCAAAGCAGGACTCTTGCAGCCGATTCCACCGCCCGACCGCCCTTGGCAGGTAGTTACCATGGACTTCATCATGGCTTTACCGCGCACAGTTAGGGGTCACGACGCCATCTTCGTGGTAGTGGATAAGTTTTCTCGAGCAGCGCATTTCATCCCCACGCACGGTAAGGTCACAGCAGAGGAAGCCGCGACGCTGTTCGTAGATAACGTAGACCGACTACACGGGGTTCCAGATTCCATCATCTCAGACCGCGACCCTCGTTTCACTTCGAAGTTCTGGAAGCAGCTTTTCGCACTGTTTGGGACTTGCTTAGCCATGTCGTCTGCGTACCATCCAGAGACAGACGGACAGACTGAGCGTGTGAACCAGACCTTGGAGCAGATTCTTCGCAGCATCACGATGCACGACGCAGCCGCATGGGACAAGAAGCTGAGCATGGCAGAGTTCGCATACAACAACACGCACCACTCCGCCACAGGCATGTCACCGTTCTTCGCACTGTACGGTCAGCACCCCAATGTCCCCACTCGTGTCGATCTCACACCCACTGTCCCTCGTGCGGACAACTTCCACCAGCATCTCACATTCATCCATGATCACGTGAGGAAGCACATTGAGCTTGCAAATGCACGCATGGCACGCACCACCAACCGCAGTCGTCGTGAGGTGTCATTCACAGTCGACGACCGTGTTCTCTTGGATAGCCGCAACCTTCGACTGCCACAGGACAGCAAGCTTCGTCCACGTTTCATTGGTCCATTCGTCATTGAGCGCGCACTTGGTCTAGTCGCATACCGCCTCCGCCTTCCCGCTCATTTCCGCATGCACCCGTCATTCCACGTGTCGCTTCTCGGGCCGTGACCGCACTCCACTGCCGCTAGCTGTTGACACCGACGAGCCCGACTACCAGATCCAGCGCATCCTCAGGCACCGTCGCCGTCTTCAGGGGGGTGTCTCTTTCATCGACTTCTTGGTTCGTTGGCGTGGTTACGACGCAGCGGACGACAGCTGGGTTCCTTCGTCCTCACTGTCTCCTGACAACGCTTGCCTCCAAGCGTACCTCTAGTCTGCGGGCGCCGCGGACGTCGCCTCCCTGGGAGGGGGGCAGTTTTAAGGGGGGATTTACTGTTCATTCCGAACAGTACTTTCCAATTCACCCTTATCCTTATCCTCTCAGATTCTCTAGTGCCACGTGGCACTCTACTTTTCTAGCTTCACAATTCCTAGTCCCACAATCTAATTTCCAACCTTGTTTCTTGCATGCTACTTAAGCCTTGCTTGTACTTGGCATTATCAACCAATTCTCATTCAACTCTTCTTCAATTACTCAGTAACTTCTTTGCCTATTTCGCCAATAGTTCTTTCGCCAAAGTCTTCCGCCGCGTTTCATCCTCGACTTAGTCGACCCCGCTAATTCTTTAGTGGACTTAGGCCGTCGGGCCTAACACAGAATGTCTGGTACAGTGGGGCTGTTCGCCAGCACCATTATAGCAAAAAACCACGGGATAACGACAGGATCAGGACGGTGGGTCTCGCCTTCCTGATCCCGTCAGTTAGAGTTCGTTTACCTCCGTCAGCCTGGTCAGCCCGTGAAAAAAGTGCCGAGCCCCACCTACCGTTCAAACCTACAAACAAAGTGGGCATCTGGCGAACGCCCACTTTTGTCCACCAAATCTAACAGTTAGACGGCATATGGAAGCGGGGACGAAATTTCGTCCCCAGGCAAAATACCATCCCCAAGCCATGCCATCGTCATGCCGCGTTTTTCGAAACACAGCGATGGCACAACTGTCGCATTGCCGTTCAAAGGGGACTAGGGGGAAGGTGGGGATGGAGGTTCCCGATGCGGTTGCGAAATTTCGCAACCGCAGGCGCAGAAGTTTCTTGAACGGCATTACGGCCAAACCTCGGAGGTTGGTTCCGCCTCCGTTTCCAGATGCAGTCGCGATTTCGATGCCTTCTTTTTCATTTCAAATTACACCCTCTTTCGCGCTAATAGAGCACCTGGTTGCAAAACGTACATGGGTTGTAGAACGTCACCACGTTCAGAATGGTCTTGTCACAATGTACAAGCACAATGTGAAGAATGCGGTTAGGTGAGGTTATGCACTTTAAAAACAACATTGTCAACGTTTGTTTTTGGTTTGGAAGGGTATAAAGCGATTACGGAGATTTTGCGTTCTTGAGTCAGTTTGTCATGTGGTTCGGCTTTCCCCCCTGGTTGCTAGGAACGTCTAATGGCACCAGATCGCATGAGACAAGTACTGTAGCGACGAGTCGCGCAAGGTTGAGAAAGAGGGTGTACAATATCTGCTGGCGAACAGCACCAGTGAGGTTCAGAGTCTAGCCGTTAGTCCCCCGATACTTCAGAACATTTGCATCGAATCGCGGAATTGTCACTGGCACGACTCGGCGAAGGGATTGAGGGATCCACGCGCAAAGCATGTGCTGCTTGCAATTTGGTAGCAGAATGGTTGGGTGGTGGTGGGATGGGATGGGAGGGAACGGAAGTCATTGTGACAAACGGTAGCCATGAAAATCATAGCTGCTGCATTCATGTCCCACGCGGCGATGCGTCCAACCTACAGCACCCTCGCACCAACCAGTGAATGTCTTTCATGGTTTTGACCTTGTGCAATTATTCTCAACATCATGCGTCTTGACATCTGTGAATACGTCGCACCGTTTCTGCGCTGCTTTTTAATCTTCTCTGCGTTCCACCTCGCCAGCACTAGTACCTTGCCGTCCGTAGTCCAGCCTCTGAATGCGCAAGCTCCTGCCGGCCTCAATCGCAGCACGTATGGCGCCACTGATGTTAGCATTACGATTCCCGTTACCAGTTCCAGCGAACTCGACTTCACTGGAACCTTTGAGGAAGACGATTTCGGGGAAGTTAAGGAGGCAGATCGGCATCCCCGCGAGCTGATGGCGATCCCGCTAGGCCACAGCCGCAACGCGACGGCGGACGCCAAGAAGCTGCAGATTGCCGACGCGCTTCGCTACCCTGTTTGTCCACGCGTCCGAGGTACTGCTACGCGCCGAAACGCGCAGAGAGGAAAACGAACAACTGAGCGACGGAGAGGAACGTACGCCGTAGTAGCGTAGCTGCGTCTCGTGTGATGTCGCCAACCGTTACCCCGCTAGCCTGCTGCCTGCTGCCTGCGGCCTGTTGCCTGTTGCCTGCTGCCTTTGCCATGTCACGCACTTTCTTCTGTTCCCCACTGCCCCCTGGCAGGTCGCGTACGGGTGAACGTAGGAATGGACACGGTGGGGACGGTGTGGAAGGGGTGGGGCACGTCGCTTGCATGGTAAGCCAAGGAAATGAAATGGTAGGGTTGCGTATGTACGTCTCTCCCAGTCTACGGCGTCTCACTGCCGTGATCCCCGTTTTATCTCTCACAGCCGTTCTAAACAGTTTAATTCCCCCCTGTTCAGTCCCGTTCCCGTGTCCCCAGTCGCTCGTTCTCGGTCTCTTACTGTCACCCACAGCCCCACTTCCCCCAATGCCCCCCTCCCCCCACTCCCCCGCATCCTCCCCCCCGATTCCTGATCCCCGCGGAATGATGGAAGGTCCGGGCGGTACATCGGCGGACTGCCGGTGCGGCGGCGCGAGTACCTGCTGGATCTGCTCTTCCACGCGCGCAAGGGGCTGGGGCTCACCATCGCGCGCTACAGCATCCCCGGGGGCTACGACCCCCGCTACAGCCCGCGCCTGGCGCAGCGGGACGTGTTCCGCGGGTACAGCAGCGCGCGCGGGCGGTACAACTGGACGGGCGACTGGCGGCAGGTGGAAGCGCTGCGCGGCGCGAAGCAGCGAGGCGTGGAGGTATTCGACGCCGTGTGCGACTCGCCGCCCTGGTGGATGACTAAGTCTAACGACACGGCGGGGAACGCGGACGGGCAGCCGAACATTAATCCGGATTACTTTGACAGTTACGCGGAGTATGTCGCGCGCGTGGTTTGGCACCTGCAGAACGATCTGGGGATTGAGTTTCGCAGCGTGTCGCCTTTTAACGAGCCGCTGGAGCCATGGTGGGTGAAAGGCGGCGCGCGCGAGGGGTGCGCGATGAGCGAGAGCGACATCGTACAGGTGATGGGGAAGCTTCGCCCACGACTGCAGCAGTACGGGCTGGGCGACGTATTCGTCGCAGGCGTCGACAGCTGGCCGTCGCAGACCTTCCGTGCGATGTCGCGCGTGTTCGCGCAAAACAGAGACAAGTGGGACCAGCTGAACGTCCACGGGTACCGGTCACCGGCTAGGATGACGCAGGGGAGAGACGAGCGGCAGTTCCGCGCGATAAGAGACGCGGCGAGACGCCTAGGCAAGCCGCTGTGGCAGACGGAGTGGGGCCCGGTAAACGTGCGAGGATCCGAGATGCAAATCGCGTGTTTCATGGCGCGAACGATCATCCAGCACGTAAATCTGATGGGCGTTGAGGCGTGGTATCACTGGCTCGCGCTGCAGCAGCCGAATCCCTCCGGCTGGGGCCTCATCTGGCAGGACTTTTCGTACAGCGAAACGTTTCGCCCGGTGGTTACCAAACAGTTCTGGACGATGTTACACTTCACGCGATGGATGCCGCCAGGAAGCCTGCCGCTTCTGGTTCGAGAAGAGTGCCAGCATACAGTACTTGCGGTGTACTCCCCCGTTATGCACACACTCGCTGTTACTGTAGTGAATCAGCAAAAACGGGCGCGAAACCTGGCTGTGCGCATTTCGGGTTACCACCTGTACATACCACAGCAGCGGACCAGGATGCTAATTTTTCGCACATTTAGCAGGGAAAGTTACAGGATGCATTACAGGGCTTCCTGGCCCGGCAGGAGGGTGGCCGGGGTGTTCAATGTAACAGCTATACGCGATTCAGTGACAACATTCGTTTGGGATAACGTGGCAGTGGGGGATGACTACACTCCAGGCATTATACCCTCGTGGAAGATCTACTGATGTGGAGTGCATAGAGGGACTGTCTGACTGGTCAAACGTGACCCATTCATCTGGGCTGATGTGGACAACTCGGAGCCACTGAAGCCGCATGCGTTGTATGCTACCTGGCCGTAGCAGCACGTGCTGCTGTTCATGGGCGACTGCTGTAGCAGCGCTACGGGCAGGTACACAGCCAAACGAGGGCCTATGTGCGTTCCCTACTTCCTGCGACTCCATATGCAGTGCCCTCCTCCTCCTCCTCTTCCTCCTCCTCCTCCTCCTCCTCCTCCTCCTCCTCCTCCTCCTCCTCCTCCTCCTCCTCCTCCTCCTCCTCCTCCTCCTCCTCCTCCTCCTCCTCCTCCTCCTCCTCCTCCTCCTTCCCTGCACCAAGTCGTTTGTCTCTGCCTGCGAGTCGCACCAGCTTCTGCTGCAAGCCCAACCCACACAGCTGATGGGGAATCTCTTTCTCCTGTGACAGATCTTGAGGGAAGGGCGGAAAGGACAGCAGCAAGACATCCCTGCCTGCGGGGTGGGGAAGTTCCATGCTCAATGGGGGCCCCTGAATGCTCTTGCTGCTGCAGGCAGAGTGTTGGGTGCAGAGGCAGCTGGCACTGAATGCCCGCTGTACAGTGATAAAGGGAGATGGATGCCCGTATTGGGTTAGCTGAACGCAAGCCCTCTACGGGAGAGGGGATGCAGCAGCTTTGGAGCTGGATTTGAGCAGCATGGCAGGACTTGGCATGGCATGGCATGCCTGAAGGCTCATTGTGAGTCCTGTATAAGGCGCTGAACTGCACTAACAGACCCCAGAGATGCTGGGCTGCACAACCTGCATACTGTACATACATTGTAAGGGATGAATGGTGGAATAAGGGTGAATAAGAGGGTGAGTGAGGGCTGACTTTACTGAATAACACCTTGGGGTACCCCATCCCGAGTCTGCTCTACTGGGAGAATGGATGGGTGGGTCTTCATGCAGGTATCCTGCTGTAGTAGTCAGTATGACTTCACTTGTTACGGTAGCCTCCTCGGTTGTGGTAATGCTGCTGTTGCTTTCGAGGTTCCCTGTGACACCCCTGGTTGCAAGCAGGGCCTTGCTCACACCTCCATGTATGTATGTTGGCAGTAACTATGATGTGTTATGGTGTGTGTGTACATGCATGCATGGAGGTGATGAGTTGGCCCCTTGCAGAGTATGTGTAGGGTATTCCTGAAAGCGCAGGGTGTTCAACGGCGCAGACAAGGCATTGATAGAGAAAGAGGGCCACCACATTGGGGTTGCTTGAGCAACGGCTACAGAGCCAATGCTAGTACGTATTGTGTATTTTACCAGAGGGTAAAGTTCTCAAGTTTCCCTTTAAATCATTTTCTTACGGTAGCTCAGCACACACGCCTGTGCTGCAGAATGATGGCCATGATATGCTATCACGACGGCAATCCTCTGAGGCGCAAAACAATGTACGACATCGCTAGAGTGAATAAACGTCGAAAATACAGGTACAACAGGTTGTGTTATTTCATGGTTCATTATTGGTACAGAGCTTACAAAAGAAGCATAGCAATCTCACTGTTGTCATAAAGCGAAGATTGCACCATTTAAATATGACTGCAGCACCTGCACCCACACTCCCTCCTGCCAGTGGTATTCCACGCGGGGCACTTGGCCTGAATGGATGAAAGTCGTCCCTTCATACCCTTCTTTGCCACATCCAACCCTCTCTGATGCAGCCCTTATCCCCTGTGCGGTGTTCTTTCCTTGAGGCATCTCAATGCCCATTACACAGTGCAGTACACACTTGCATGTCCTCTGCTTCTTATCCCCTCACATTGTTGGTCTTCTCATCTCCCCCACATTATTCTCGCTCTTCCCGCTGCCTTTCCTGACCAACCTGCCTCCTCTCCCCTCCCCAGGAGTGCACCCCACCACACCCACCTCTCCTACTGACGGCCCACCCGCCTCTCTCCCCTCCTCCTCCTTCCCCTGCTTCCCCTGCTTCCCATCCTTGCCACTAGCACTCCTCGCTATCCCCCTCGCTCCACCCCTCACCCCCGTACCAACCGACGCACTCCGAGCGAGTGCGCCCTCTCCTGAGGCAACCAGCCCTATCCTCCTCCCCCCAACCCCCCCTCCTCCTCCCCTGCTGCTGCTGGTGATGCTGCTGCTGCCTCCCTCCCCCGCGCCCTCTCCCCTCCCCACTAGCACAGTGCCAGATGAACCCCCAACCGCTCCCAACCGCCCTCCCACCACCACACTGCGGCTGCTTCCCAGCAGTCCCAACCCCACACCTGGAACCAACCTCCCTCCCATCCCTCCCGTGCCTCCTCCTCCGCCCCCTCCGCCCCCTCCCCCTCCTGCACTCCCTGGTCTTAATCCAGCCCGGCTCCCAAACCCCATGCAACTGCCACTCCCACCAGCCCTCCCCACTCCTCCGCCCACCCATCCCCCACCACTGCCACCCCCCCCACCCCTCCCTCCCACCCCATCCCCTGCCTCTCTCTCCTCCCTCCCCCCTCCCCCACCACCCCCGATCGGCTGATCAAGTGTGAAACCCGCCATATCATGCAGGTCTAATACAGGCAGGAGAGACGCGAGCACGTGGGACATGAGCGGGCGGAGCTTGGGCTTGGCGCTGAGGCACTGGCGCGCCACGGCTGCTGTGAGCTGCGCGCCGCGCACGCTGTACATCCCCGCTAGAGCGGGATCCATTATGCGGTATAGCTTGCAGGGAGAAGAGAGGAACGGCGCCGCCCAGTCCACTAGAGATTGCTCGGGCTTGGGCCTGTGGGACAAGATTATGGGAGAGGGGGAAGATGGGGGAGAGGGGGCAGAGCAGGTGAGCGTGCTGTAGGCGGGTGGAGGACTGTGGGTGGAGAGAGGACTGTATATACTACTGAAAAGAGGCTGTGGATTGTTCTGACATGTGTTGAAGGCCTGGGATGGGAAGAGTGATTGAGGCAGCAGGCAAGAGCGCAATATAGCAAGTGTGTTTAGGCCACAAACACGCTACACAGGAATGTGAAGACGGCATGCTTCATACGGTCCAGAGGCAAAGGGCATGCGAGGATCCAGCATGCGTGAAGGGCATGAGATGATCCAGCATGCGTGAAGGGCATGAGAGGATCCAGCAGCTCCCGTGAGGCGCCTCACAAGTCGCCATCAGGTAGATACCCGTGCAGGCACAACCCCCACTCCCCTCCCGCTCACCGGGTCTTATCGAGAGCAGGGCGGCCTGTGAGCAGCTCCAGCAGCACGACTCCGAAGCCCCACACGTCGCTGCGGATGGACAGATGGCCTGTTAGCACGTACTCCGGTGCTGCGTACCCTACTGTGCCCACCACCTGATGGGGGGAGAAGTGAGGGGGAAGGGGGCGGGGAAGGGGGGCCTTTGAGACATGCACTACGCCAGTCCAGTCCACTACTACTGTACGCACCAGCAGCATGAAGACACGAGGCAAGCGCTAAGGCACTAGAGAGCTAGCGGTGCGGTGCGGGAGCAGAGCAGCCAAGCAAGCAAAACCGCCTGCAGCAGCGAGCAGAGCAGCGCAGGCGTACTCGAGTGGTGCCATGCGAGAGCTCCACCTGCGGGCCCAAGAGGCCCGCCCATCACTACCAGCACAGCACCTTTACCAGCAGCACGATGAGGCTGGAAAGACAGAGAGGGACAGGGGAAGCGTACCCGAGTGGTGACGTGCGAGAGCTCCCCCTGCGGGCCCAGGCGTGCAAGGCCAAAGTCAGAGAGTTGTGCGTCGCCATGGCGGTCCAGCAGGATGTTGGACGTCTTGAAGTCCCGGTAGATGATCTGCGGGGAGGGTAAGGGGTGGGTGGAGGAAAAAAGTGTGTGTGTGAGGTTGGGAGTACGGGACTCGGTACTCTTCTTTGCATGCTCCTCTCTCCCCCTCGCCTCACCGGCTTGTCAATCTCCTCGTGCAGGAACTTGAGTCCCTTGGCGGCAGCAATGGCAATGCGGATGCGGTGCAGCCACTGCAGCGGACGCTGCTCCTCTCCCCCCGCCAACCCCCCCCTGCTGCTGCTGCTGCTGCTGCTGCTGCTGCTGCTGCCACCGCTGCTGCTGGGCCGCCTGCCGCTGCCACTGCTGCTGCCAGGACGCTTCATCCCCTTCACGTCCGCGCCTCCGCCCCCTCCCCCTCCCCCACCAGACGATGCTCTGGGTACGCCCCCCGGGAACCCTCCGCCAGCCGCAGCGCCCAGGGAGAGCGAGAGCCCCGCGGGGAGCGTGGGCGGGGGCGCGGAGGACGGGGGAAGGAAGAGCGCGGGGAAGAGGCGGCGCTCCAGGGAGCCTCCGGGGAGGAAGGGGTACACGAGCAGGCGCTGCTCCCCCTCCGCGCACACCCCCAGCAGGGGGACGAGGCACGGGTTGTGCAGGCGCGCCAATACCTGCACCTCAGCCTGCCACTCACGGTCGCCCTGCTGCCCCGCCGTGTTGAGAACCTTCACGGCAACTTCCACCTTGCGCCCGCTGCGCCCGTCCCACATGGTCCCCTTAAACACGCTCCCGAACCCGCCAGAGCCTAGCAGCCCTTCGAGCGCAAACTGACACGTGGCGCCGTGTAACTGGGCGAGGGAGAAGGAGTTGAGCAGCCCGGAGCCCGCCAGCTGGCGGTCCAGGACTGGCAGGTTGCGGTGCGAGCTGGCGGGAACGAGCACGTGGTCCAATGAGAGCTCCGCTGCAGGGCTTGGGTCGCTCGCGGTTGCCGCCGCCGCCGCCACCGCCACCGCTGGCGCCGTCGTTCCCGCCGCTGGCGCTGCTGCCGCTGCGGTTTGGCGGCGGTTTCCGTCCGCCGTGTTGCCGCCCATGCCACCGCCGCCGCCGCCGCTGTTGGAGCGGGGGGAAGCTGCAGAACCCGGCGCACCAGCAGCACCGATCTGCACGCCTGGAAATCGCCCCGACCCCATCCGCGCCAGTCCTCCACTGCGGAACGAGCGGCTGGGAGAGGGCGAGCGCAAGGGCGAAGCGGGGCGGGCGGGGGACGGCGCGGGGAGCGGGACTGGGACTCCGCCAAAAGGCGGGACCGGGAGAGCGGCGAGCGCGCGCGCGGAGGCGGTGGGGTTGGCGGAAACGATAGGGCCGGAGAGGGAGGAGGAGGAGGAGAGGGAGGTGGATGAGAAGGAAGAGGCGGAGGAAGAGGTACTTTTTGACAGCGTCAGCGAGGGGGAGAGTGATGGGCTGGCGAGCGCGTCGGGGCTCCGCTGATCATGCTGCTGCGCGTGCTCCCCCGCATCCTGCTCCGCGCCATCCGCGCGCCTCTCCTTCAGCGAGCCCCCCGCGCCCGCCGCCCGCGAGTCGTCCGGCAAGTAACCGGCGCCAACGCCACCGCCACCAGCGGCAGTACTAGCAGCGCCAAAAACTCCGCTATGGCGATTGCTGTCTTTCAATACGCACTTGTTGCCGCCATCGTCGGCTTTCGCGTCGCTGTCGCAGAAGCTGCCGCCGCGGCGGCTTGCGTCGCTGCTGCTGCGACAGTCCTTGCCCGAGCCGGCCGCAGCGACCCTTGACGGCGCTCGGCGCGGCGACGCGCGGAAGCAGTCGAAGCAACCCATTGGGTGGTGGCTATGGGTATGGGTATGGCGATGGCAATATAGATGGTGGTGATGTGCAAGCTTTAGGGTGGGCTGGTTGTGAGACGGCGGGAGAGGCTGACCGAATCTATAGATTCGGGCAGGGAGAGAGAAGTCGTGCGGCAGGAGATGGCCGAATACAAGTCAAGGCCGAACCTACTCTGCGGGGCACCAGCTGATCTGACTACTACAGCAGCTACTGGCTCTCGGATATGTCGCGCAGCGATTTCTTCGGCGACGCGGTCCGCGGTTGCGCAAACAGGGAGCGTGCGCGGCGTGGGGCGTGAAGGACATAAGGTAGTAGCAAGACCACCGGGTGGGACGGGACAGTATTAGTACTACTAGGCGTGGCTCAAAGCACGAAGATTGCGAGAGGCGGTAGCGGTCACTGGTGATCCGCGTTGCTCTTAGGACGCTTAGAGCATGATGTTCCGAGCTCTCGTGCTACTAGATCTCTGGCTAAATAACGATCTGAATAGCTGCTGCTGCTGACAGCAAGGTCATACAGCGGTCTCAGTTGCTCGTACTAAGGTAATATGGTAAGCGTGTATGGTCTCAGCTGCGCGGTTAGGCCAGACCCGGAGTTCGTCCTTGTCGCCACGCAACGACGGTCAGGAGGGCGTTGGATGCAGCACGAGAGGTGCTTTCGTAGCTGTTGCTGCTATTGCTGATCGAGGGGCTGGAGGGCGGCTCGAATCTAAGAACCTCTTACAGAGGTTGGGGCGGCGGCGGAGGTGGCGCAGAGAGGGGGAGGGGGGCACGAGAGAAGGGTGCTTCGCGCCGCTACTGTATCACCACCAGGGTTGGTTGGAGGTGGTACTAGAAGCGGCAGGCAGGATAGTACTAGCGACGAATTATCCCCTCTCACTGGGAGAGCAGTCGTGGGGGATGGGAAGGGGATGGGGGGCGGGGGAGCGCACGGTCTTGCGCGACTCGAATGGTCGCGCAGAACCCGCACTCCTCATGCGGTGGGTTCCAATTCCGGAGCCGTGCAACTGCTAATGGCAACATCGCGCGGACTATCAGCTGGCCCAAGCCTCGCCGGTAAACGCGCGGGCCCTTTCCATTGCGGCGATACGGCCGATCGGGTCGCGGCAAAAGCAACGTCCGCAGTGGTAATTATCACACCAGCACCACCAGCATCACCAGCATCACCAACACTACCAGCAGTACGGTATTACAACTGTACAACCGTGACTAGTAGTATCGGTTCCGTGTGCTGGGCTCAGCTGAGGGTTCGCGTGGATTTGCGTTCGGCGGAGCTTTTGAAAGGTCTGACAGCACAGCGCGTGGTGTGATGCGAATGCCAAATGCTTGACAATGCCTTATCTGCGATCAACTTGAAGCGGAAGTTTCGACGTGTGGAGGTGGGAAAACCGAGACGGCGCATTTGCAAAACCTGCGGTTGCTTGCTTTGGGCTTGGATAGGGCCTGGTGGGAGAAAACAATTGATGTGCGCTTGCAGGAGTCGATGCAAGCAGCGTCGAGGGCAAGAGCTGCGTGCGCATCTGGCCTGGGCCCGACCTGACAGGAACATCCGACCGTCGACGAGCCCAGCGGGGCTAGTGCCGTTTTGGGATTCACATGGTCGCTAGTTTGTGGCGAGGTTTCTGTTCGAGGCAAGGTCACATTATCACATAGCAGCCATGGTGCCAAGTTGCGTGCATGTGAGGTACGTTTCAGGTTGGTCTGTGCTGGAGGTTCCAAATCCCCAACCAAACAACATATCTCGGCTGAAACGCGTCGAATCGAGAGAGAGCAGCGTGCACTACACTTAACACAAGAAACTGGAGAGAGCTGGCAAAGCGGTTACCGTCGACGGAGCCGCGATTTCTCCAAACCGCGCATTGGACGGGCGGTTTGATGGCATCGAACATTGCGCCTTGCCCATCATCACACCTCGACAGTCAACGCCCTACATTTGATACACGTAACTCATCTTTTCGAGTTGTAACTATTTTCAAGGAAAACTCTCCTCTGTCAAGCTTAGAGTGTGTTGAAAGCAGGTTGCGAGTCCTTCATCACTTCGGCTCGGTTACTTACGACCTTGATAGAACCTTGACTACATCACTTTGGTCGTAGTTTCGTGCACTATTATCATTCCGTATCAAAGGGAATTGTTTCTTTCCGATTCTCGGGACATTTTGTCACAAACCGATAAACACCTTTACTGCATATTTCGTGTATTGAAAGGAGCCGAGGATGTTGGGCAAGGTCATGAGGTGCAGCCTCGAAAATCTTGGTGGCTGCTGGACTTCCCGTTTACCTCAGCACTAGGTGCGCCTGAAATCTAATGCTCCGCTAACATGAACGGTTTGCCCTATTCGTTAATATATTACTCACAGAACAAGGTCTGTTCCCCACAAAAACATTGCCACATGCCTGTACCACATTATACTGTTACATTCCAATCCAAAACACGAATCACTTGCACAAGGATTCACAAAAAATGACACTCGAAGCGGACATAAATCGAATATTGTTACAAATAGTGATTAATGAAACATCACTGTGCACTCCTCACCGCAGCAAGCGAAGCACGCACTACCGAGGTTGAAGTCGAAAGAGCGGAAGTAACACAAAGGGACGAACGGTTACAAAAGCATTTGGACCGTCTGGCGGACAGCATCAGGCAGCAGCAGTGGCGAGGATTCTGCCCGAACAGTTTCGTAACCACCTGGAGTCGCACGGTTGGATTTCACTATAATAAGGGAATGTACCCCTTAGAGTACATGGCTAGCTAGGTCGATTGGTATTCCCCTGTACTCTTATTTATAGTGTTGTATCTGCATGTTTTTATTATCTCAAGCATCTACATTCACTCTGCTATTGAGATAAAGGGCCCACCATCACAGAATCAGTAGTGTGCGAACCTTCATGAGACGATTTCGAGCTCGATCAACTTCTGATCGCAACATGGTGTCATAGCGACTCGAGAATCCTTCGCACTGCCATCTCCGAAATCTGCGACATTCGGAAAGTGGCGTCCGAAAGACGCTCACGTGTGAGAATGGCCGGTGGATCTGGAGGTCAGACGAATCTGACGGCTGAAGCGCAGCCCAATCCGGCTGCGACAAGCGAGGAGACGACGACAATCCCTTCCGCCGTCCTCGCACAACTGCTTCAGCGACTCACGAGCCTAGAGCAAGGGCTCCAAACATTGCGGAATGGCGACGCGGGAACATCTTCCCAACCCTCTCAACCGGCCTCGAATGGCCAGAACTCCGCCCCGCACACCTTCTCTCTCGACACAAATGGCTCAACACCCAAGACTCCATGTCCCAGTGATGAAGCAATTCTCTCTGCGCAATCTAGGTTTTTGAGCATATCAAAAATAAAGACAAGTGTGTGCTTCGACGGCAGAGACTTCTACACCTGGAGATTCGAGCTGGAGCTGCTGCTACAAAACACGCAGATTTATCAGTACTTCGACGGGAGCTACTCGGGACCTGCGGAGGACACTAACGACGCAAGAACCAAGAACTACAACGAGTCACTGATGGCGTACGGGGTCCTTCTCCGAAATATGTCACCGACGGAGCAATTGAGCATTCGCTCATACTTAACTTCGCCTGCTCCAGCCCTCAATGCTTGGCGCCACCTGAACGGTGTGTATCAACCAAAGGACCCAGTGTCGTCGAGCCGCCTACTCCAGCAGGTACCGGAGACCAAGATGGCACCAGGAGAGAAGGCCAACAGCTACTTGGATCGTTGCCGGAGCTTACACGATCAAATCGCGAAACTGGGAAGCACAATCTCTGAGGAGATATTCGTAAATATCATGCTCCAAGGGCTCGGCCCAGAGTGGCGGCCCTGCAAGGCACTTCTCCGACAGCAAGGGGTCATCTCGGAGGCCGCCCTTTGTGCCGCCCTTCTTGTCGAACAAAGGGATATGGATCAACAGCGACCAGCGCCGTGACGAGACAGGGAACGCCTCGCCTTCTACGCCGACAACACAGAGGAGCGACGGCCGCGGCGCCTTTACTGCAAAATCTGCAGAAACTTTGGGCACTTGGTAGATCGATGCAAGTCCTGATTTCGCCCTCACCAGACCAATCCGAGCAACTGGTCGGCCGACAAGACGCATGGAACGACATGTGTCCCGCCCAGGGGTATCAACCCCCATCGCGCAACCTGAACCCAACAGTTCAGCAGCAGCAGCAGCAGCCGTCACAGACTACCCCCATCCGCAATGTCATGGGGAACATGACAATGACAAGCGTATTACACCGCCCCCGCGCACGCTCACCATCACCTGAGCTGGCGCCTGACCCAATCGGAGCGTTCTCGAACAACAATCCGTTCAGCACGCTTCACGACTCCAGCGACGACGACAAACAAGACTGGAATCTTCCAGTTCCGCTGCTTGAAAGCCCCCCGCACGAACCTGATATGCGGCCAGCACCGATCGACTAGATCGCGCGCGAATAATCTCAAAGTAGACACACCACACATCGTTACTTCGCGACTGGCGCTGCTCGCGCGTAACGACAACAGGCGCTACAACACGTGATACATGGATAGCTGTTGTGGGCAGCACATGGTGTGCTCTGAGCGTTACATATCCAACGCCGTCGCCACCCCCTCCATCACCTACGTTAATGTGGCAAGCAACACGCGGCTGCGCGCAAGCTCGCAAGGCATCGTCGTGCTCAAGGCACGTGGGAGCAGAACGCACATCACCTTGAATGACGTGTTGATTGTGCACAAACCTACGCTTCAACATGCTCTCGGTCGCGCAACTTGTCAGAACATATAGCTTTTGCATATTGTGTAGGCTATAGTGGGGTAGCCCACAAAGGGTACAACCCAATTAGGGTTAGTACTTGTACTCAGTTCATTCATAGTTCATTCATTCTCATTTTCTCATGGTATCGAGCAGGTTCCCCTGTGGGAACTGTGCCTAGGGCCCACCAAATTTCGAATTTTTTTCCTGCCCGAAGCGCGCCCCGCCCAAGTCGCGCTCTCACCTCGTCGAGCCG